TCTCCCTGTGTCCCCTCTCCATCTCCTTCAATTTGGCTCAGAGATGCTCCCATTAATATAGGTTATAGTAAATGGGCACATTATGTTCCTCCTCTTTGAGCGAGGTTATTTTTCAAACACTAAAGCACAACTAATTATTCAAGAAACGCTTTGCAAAAACAGTACCGTATGAAAACTATACAATTCAAAATCTATTTTAGATGCTTTTACGAAAAGCAGGAAACTTAAGGCTGGGAAAGCAGGTGCTGTGTTCTTTTCCTGATAAATGCCTGTGTGCCCACGGGGTGGGCGTGTGGCAGGAGGCTGCCTGGCTAGTCCCTAATAGAGTGATTTGGAAAGGCTTTACAAACACTGCCAAACCGGAGTGCACTCAGACACACGCAGCTCTGACCATACAGGCAAGAATGAAAGGTCTGTTTCGCTGGTTCTGAGATTTGTAGGAATCGCAGTAAAGTAAGTGGTTGATTTAGGGTGTCAGCCTCTCCCCTTGCAGAATTTACCATGTGACAATCAGTGCATCTGACCTTGGCAGGAGTTTCAATGACAAAATGACACCAGCGTAGGCTGAACAGGACCTATCTGGGGTGTGGAAGATCCCCAGAGCAGCTTTGGAGGAAATGTCCTGAAATCTAAAGCCATCTGCTGAGTGAAAGCTATTTGTTTCGTGTGTGTTTTGCCCCCAAGGAATCTGTCGGCTCCTAGTGAACGGGCCAGAAAGAAGAATAACACTCATCACAACCATAGCTCCCATGCTCCACACCTTCCCGACCACAGACTTCACATGCATTGTCTAGTTCACCTCACAGCAACCCAGTAACACGAGGACCATTATTATGCCCATTTTCTAGTGGGGGAAATTGAGTCGCACGTCTGTGATGTTCCTTGTGGACAGTCAGCTGGTGGGTGCAGAGCTGGAGTTTAAACGCGACAGTGATTGACTCTATTATACATCCCATGTTTTACCCCAGGACTGCACGCTGTGTTCCTGTACCCCTTCCTTCCATGGGCCCCCCACCAAGGGAAAGCGCTGTCCTGGTTTCCACAGCAGAGATGAGTCGTGTCTGTATTTGTACTTTGTATAATGGAATCATACCGCGTGTGCTTTTAGTGTTTGGGTTCTTTCCCTCAACGTTAAGTTTGTGAGATGCACCCATTTTTGTTAGTGTGACTGTTGATCATTCGTATGCTCCTTGCTGTACAGAATTCCATGGGAGGACCGCACCTCGTTTTATTTATCCATTCTACCACTGATGGATGCTGAATTGTTTCTGGTTCTTGACTAATGGAAAAAAAAAAAGCACTATTATGAATATATAAACTTTTAAGGTTGTAGATAAAATAGTCAATAAGGACAATCATATCATCTGTTAATAATGAGAGTTTTGTGGGGTTTTTTCCCTCTTTCCAAAAAGGGAAAATCTTCCTGATTTTAAAAACCTTCACTGTTTCGCCATGAAAAATAACATTTGCTGTAGGTTTTGGGTAGATTCCACTTATCAGATTAAGGAAATCCCTTTCTACTTTGAGCTAGTTAAAATTTTTTTTATCATAAATAGGTATTTTGAATTTCATCAAATGTGTTTTCTCCATCTATTGAAATAACCATATTGTTTTCTTCTTTTAATATGCTAATGTAGTGAATGATAATTACTGATTTTCTGAAGTGAAGTTTTATATTCCTGGCCTAAACCCAGTATAGGCATGATGTGTTCTCTCTTTTCATAAAGCGCAGGATTCATTTTGCTAATATTTGTGTAGGATTATTGCCTTTATGTTCATGAATGAGGCTTTTCTATGATTTTTCTTGATTACATTTTTTGAGTTTTAGTATCAAAGGTATGGTAGACTCAGAATAAGTTGTTGGGTGCTCTTTTTTTTTTCTTTCTCAAATGATTTGCATACGATTAGGATATGTTCCATAAATGTTTGGTAGAATTTACCTGTAAAATCATCTGACTTGGTGATTCTTTGCAGGTAAGTTAAACAATTGATTTGGTTGTTTTAATGGTTATGAGCTATTTGGACTTTTTATTTCTTTTTGAGTTGGCTATTTTTAAAGGAATGTATTCACGTCTTCTAAGTTAATACATCTTTTGCCTTGTTTGGCATATAAGTTTTTATGGTACATTCTTTTTAGTTCCTGCTGGATCTCTCATTATATCCTCTTTTTATTTTTAATATTATTTGTGTGCCTCTCTTTCTTGAACTCTCTTAGAAGCTTGCCTATTTTATTGGTGTTTTCAAAGAACCAACTTTTAGGTTTTTTAATCACATTTTTTTCATCTTTGTTCTTTATTTCATTAACTTCTGCACTTACCATTATCTTTTTAAAAATTTATACTGTTGTTCTAGTTGTAATTTTTTAAGTTGGGTGATTAGCTCATTAATTTTTAGCTTTTCTTTTATATTAATAAGCATTTCTTTTCTTATATTAATAAGCATTTAAGTTTCTACATTTCTTTCATATTATCTTCTTCACTGTGTGCCATAAGGCTTGGTATATTATTATATTTTCATTATTGCCTAGCTCAAAATATATTTAATTTTTTTCTTATTATCCACAAGGTATTTAAAAGTGAGGTTTTAAAGTTCTAAGCATATATTTTTTTGTTCTAATTTAATTGCATTGTCGTTAGAAAACTTGGTTCATAAAATAATGGATATTTGAAAAATCTGACTCTTCTTTTATGGCCTATTTCTTGGTTAATTTTTGTAAATATCCCATTGTTATATGGAATCTACATCTGCCCAATAAACCAAATGTGCTAATTGAATTTTTATATTTTTACTATTTTTTTGTCCTATCAATAAGAGATACCTCTAACATCGCCCACTCTCATGATAAGTTTAATTTCTTTATGTGTTCTATTTTGCTTTATACATATGTATGACTAAGAATTGTTTTATCTTCCAGATGAATCAAACATTTTATGATATAGAGACTCTAGGTATATCATGCTTTTATGTATTAAAGCCTCCTTTTTCTGAAAGCAGAGTTTATTTCTTGGAGCAAAGAGCAAAGAACATTAGTAGGGTGAAGACAAGGGATATGGATGTGGGTCAAAACATCCTGCGTAATGGCTTTTATTTTGACTGTATATTGACCACCATGTTACACATGGGTTTAACGAACTCTAAGATAATGACCTTGGCCTCAGGTAGCACACAGTCCAGCTTAGAAGCCAAGACATGGATTGCAAAATGGATATGGCATACAGAACAGTAACTGCTAAGAGCTCCATGAGCCACGAGCTTTGTCAGAGGAGAGAGATGTCAAGATGGGGCAGCCAGGGAGATCCCGCATTTCACAGAAAAGAATGTGAAGCAACTTCAGAAAAATCAGACGTGGATATGATGGGAGGAGCCAGCTAGTGAGAAGGCATCGAGATAGGGAGGATGGAATTGACAAAAATGGAAGGTCCTTATTATAATAAAACCTTATTTTATTTAATCACCCCTCACAGCATCCCTCTGAAGCGTGAATTCTAATTCTGTTTGACAGATGAGGAAACTGTGAGGCTCAGGATGGGAACTTCCCCAAAGTCACATAATTATATCAAGAGGAAGCATTAGATTCACGTGCGGTCTGCCTGAAACATCTTAAGCTCTGTCCCAGGATGCCGGGAATGCCCATGGCATTTGGCTAGACCAGAGGATTGACTTGGGTGAGGAGAACTCGATAAGAGTAGAAAACTGAGGCAACAGGTATGAGCCCTTCCATTTTTGAGAAAAAAAGTGAGGGCTCGAGTAGGCCTATTTGGGGAGAGCAGGTAGAGGGGACAGCAGGGGAAGAAAACAAAATAGGGAGCGGGCCCAGTTTCTATTATATGCGTTTGTAAGATGAGAATGTGACTCTCATACTGACCTCCGACAAAATCCCTTGCCAGGGTAACTTTCGTGTTATTTAAAAAATACTAATACGACAAAAGTCATCCAATGGGGCGTATTCTTTCTAGTTCTCTCTCTTTTAAAGATAAATATGTTACATTAGGGGCTTGTAAAGAAATCCTTTAGAATTTTTTTTGATAGAGACTTTGAGATGCGATGGATTAAATTCTACTTGGCTTCTGGCTCCTTGTTCCTGAGTCAGGCACACTTAGTCATTCATTCAGAGCCTGGTTAGGTTAATTAGACATAATGTGGGCAGACAGAATGACATCATATACCTTCTGCAAAAGAGACAGAGGAGAAAAACAGGGGGAGAGAAGGATTTCAATGGATTTTTGTTCCACAAGGCTGAATAGGCCTGACCAAAAGGGTACAAAAGGAAAAAAGGAAAAAAGGATCAGACCAAAACATTCCAGGGAGCTCTTGACTAGCATGGCTGTGCTGGAGCCTTCAAGCAGTATTGGCCCCGTTTTCTATCCATGCTGGGAGGGAATGCTGAAGAAGTATACATGGGAGGGATTATAAACAGCCGTTTCCAAAAACATTTCCCAGCATATCAATTCCATGGAATGAACTGAGGAATAAAAAGAGTTCCATGGTTTGTGCAAAACGCTAGGTTGAACAAAGACGTTTCTTGACTGCAGGCCTTTTCAGAGCCTTTAAAATGTTCATGTATTATAAACCCCTAAGAGGGGAGGCAGTATGCAGGGTTCCCAAATCTACTTGATTACAGAAATCCCCGACACACACACTTTTTTTTTTTTCCCCTTGGAGATTTCTTATGACTGGTACTTTACACTTCACCCTTTCGTAAGTAAGTTCTGGGAGAGGAAAAAACATGACCTAGAAGGATTCCTTGAGAGCGAAATGAATATTTTCCATGTCAGTCAAAATTTACACCTGGCAAGTGATTTTCCTAAAATTCCCCAAACCTCTATCTCCCACCTTCTCAACTATTCAAATGAATTGACACTAATTCATGAGAGGAAATGGCAGCTATTTCATAAATTTTTTTTAATATCAATGCTCACTTATAATCAGAGTATAAACTGAATCACAGCACCAGATGTCTTTCTAGCCGCCAGGGCGCTGAGCTCTCTGTGGTCAGGGTTTCAATAGCCCCCTCTCTGCTGGCTGACGTGGAGCTGGGCCTCCCGCCCCATGTGATCAAAGAGGCTGTTGGCTCTCGCGTTGTCTCTCCTAGAGGCCCTGGAGATCTTCTGGAATCCCTCCAAGGTGGCATCTCTCTCTCGGGAAAGCTCTTCCAGCTGCTCTTTTTTCCTAATGGCTTCCTTGATGCCCTCCACGTGGCACTTTTCCTCCTTCTCGGCTTTCAGCTTCAGGATGTGATGGTTCTTCTCCTGCAAGACGTTGAGCTCTCGCATGTGCTGCTCCTTGTCCCTGAGGTTCTTGTGGACGTTGCTCCGGTCCTGTCGGAACTGCTGGTCCGCCAGCTCCCCCAACAGCTGCTTGTGCACCTTCCTCTGCTCTGCCAGCTGCTCTGCGCACCATTTGACCTGCTGGAGCTGCTCCTCCTCGCGGGCCTTGTCCCTCAGCTCTCTGTGACGCTCCCTCGTCAGGCCCTGGTGGATCTCCTGGGACCGCTGGAAACTCTGTTCCAGGGACAGCTTCCTCAGGAGGTCCTCAGCCTTGGCCTGGCAGTCCATGAGAACCTTCCGGGCCTGGTAATTGACTAGGGAGCTGAGATTGGCCTCCTGGACCTTTTTTGGGCCCCTGGTCACATGCAGCTGCTGCTTGTGAGAGGCCTGCTCTGGCCTCTTCTGCAGCTCCAGGCTGCCCGGCTCCAGCGGGTCCTGGAGCACCTTCTCCTGCTCTTGCGGGCGCTGGACCTGGCACTGCTTCCTGTGATCAGCCTCGGGGCGGGCCCCCTCCAGCTTCTCATGGCGCTGGGTCTCCTGGTCCTCCGATTGCGCCTTCCACTGGTTCTCTGGCTGGACCATATTCTTGGCTGGGCTGTCCCGTTTCCGTCCAACACGCTGCTCCCCGTTCAGGCGAATTCTGCCCTGCTCCTTCTGCAGCCACTGCTCACGGCTCTGCTGCAGCAGCAGCTTGCGCTCCCTCTCCAGTGTCATCTGGACCTTCTGGTCCGAGCGCTTCAGCTCCTCCCAGGCTACAGCCGCCTGCTGCTGCAGCTCCCGCATCCTCTGGGCTTTCTTGAGTCGGGTCAGCACCAGGGACACAATCTTCTGGTCCCTGGAAGACATTACTGCCTCTTCCAGCTTGTTCTTGAGGATCTGGGTGTGCTGGCTCTGCACCTCCTTGCTGGAGACTGAGGCCTGGGAGTACTGGCTGGCTAATAACTCCACGCGATCACTACTGTCCCTCTTCTGGGTGTGCACACAAGCGGACAGCGTCCTGGCCGCCTGAGAGGGCGCAGAAGACTTCTCCGTGGGAACTGAGGAAAGGGACCAGCAATCTTGATCTCTGCATACCGGCACTGCCCACGGGTCTCCGCTCCGTCCCTTTTCTGTCCTGAAAGTTCCATCCAGGGCAGTGTAAGCGCCCGTGGAGTATGGTGGGGGCGAATCTCCCTGGGCTGGAGGGTAGTGCTGGCAGGGCTGGGGCTGTTGGGGTGACAGCTGGGACTGTTGCGGCCAGGCTGGCCTGCGCCTGCTGCTCCCCAGCGGCTGGGGCTGGGTCCTTGGCTCCCCCCAGGCATCTTCCAGGCGCCGGCCGCCGGTCCGGTGCTTCCTGGTGCGGTCTGGGGGCCTCCGGGTCACATCTCTCAGGCTACGGCTTTCCCGCGGCGCGTTGTGGGGGGACCGGCGCCGGCGAGGTCGCAGGGCGGGCGAGCAGTGCGGGGGTGACAAGGCCGTGGCGGCCTCACCTCCCTCGCCCTGGGTCCCAGCCCAGGAGCCTCGCACCGGCTGGATCTGGGGTCTGGGTCCACGCAGCCGCGAGGACGATGCGCACTCTCCGCCGGGTGGCGGAGGCTCCCAGAGGTCCCGGTGGGGCAGTGAGAAGCGACCCAAGCCCTTCATGCTCCCTCCAGGCAGGCGCAGCGTGTAAGCCAGAGTCCTGCGGCCCCCGGGGGTGCTCCTGAGACTCGTCCCCACCCTCCGCTCAGGCGGCCGGTGGGGACCCCTGATGCCTGTGACGCTAGGGCCACATCACAATGCCCCTGGCGCCACGGTCCCGCAGCCCTCGGCCCTGTCCCACCCCGGCCTCCCTAGCATTCGGTACCGCGATAGGGGGCAGTGAGAAGGGCAGGAGGCCGGGGGAGGGTGCAGTGTGGAGGGGAGCTGTAGGAAATCAGGGGTGACCCTTAGAGCTGGGGGTGTGGAGTGAACCCCCACCAGTATTTCAGGCAGGAGTTTGGCCTCACATCTATACACTTCAAAGCAGCAGGCTTTTAAAGGAACCTGTGTGAAGGCGTCACCCCAGAATGTAAAGTGGAGGGGAGAATCGAGGGGGCGGGGCCGAAATCCTCTGAGTGACCCTTAGCCTCAGTCACCATCCCTACTTCTGTGTACCTCTACGGAGTATGCAAATTAAGCGGCCATGGAAGCACATTAATACGATGTACAACCCTTTTGCCTGTTTAAGTTAGCAAGTCCAAAATATGTTTTGGTTACTTTTTAAATTTTAGCACAGGAAAAAGACTAGTCCATTTCCTCCTAATTTGGCAATTACTGCTTTTGTCAAAATGTGAATGTTGTGTGTACATTTCTGGAAAAAAAATTTTTTTGACGCTTTTCTCTAATTGCATGAGATTATGTTTCCTTGTTGAGGTACCCTAGGCTAATGGGAAAAACACTGGACTTGGTCATGCAAACTTGGGTTTGAATTTCCTTTGCTACTTTCCACCCCTGTGGTCTTGGGCAAGTTACCTGCCTTTACTGTCCTTCAAATTCGGGAAAAGTGGAATGGAGGAAGGGCTGTGATAACACCAGCACTGCAGGACTGTCTGGAGGGTCTGATGAAATTATGTTATCACTAGCTTAGCACCTTAAGGCATTTAACACATATTTAGATGTCCTGCTTCAGTTAAAAATTGTAAGACTTAGTATATAGGTTTACAAAAGTGTCTGTAGATTCCTAGCTTAAGAAAAGAAGACTGGAATTAAGGTGATACTAAACCAGTTTAGGTACAGGGTAGAGTGCTAGGCAGGGGCAGAGCTCCCCAGGCCCTGGCACGTTCATCCTGTACTGTGGATCTTGGCTAAGTCACTTCCCTTCTCTGAGGTGCAATGAGGAAACAGTTTGGGTTGACATTCTCCAAATAGGGTGACTCCTTAAAGAAGAAAAATGAATATTTACTCACCCTGGTCTTCTTTACGCACATCTACTTGTAGTTTCTCAGCAACCCCTGCTAGGTTAGCCAATATAATAGACTTGACAACGTTTCCTGAAGACAAATCTGAGAGTCGGCCATGTTAACTGGTTCCCCCAAAGGCCACTTGGTCAATGGCAGGGATTTGGACTTCAGATTCACTTCTCTTTCCATGACATCATGCTACCTTTCAGAAAATGCACTTTGAATTGATGCGTGTGTTATGGATCAAATGTTTGTGTCCCCCCAAATTCATATGTTGAAGCCTTCACCCCTAGTGTGTTGGTATTTGGAGGCAGCGCCCTTGGTAGGTAATTAGGTTTAGATGGAGTTAGTGTCCTCATAGGAAGAGGAAGGACCAGGCGTTTCTCCTTCTTCTTAATAAGGCACCGCCAATTAGTTGTTTTTAACCAAGAAAGAAGCCCTTTATTGAAACTATCCGGCCAAGCCCTTTGTTTTGGAACTTGCCGCCTCCAGACCGGGGGGAATCAATGTCTTCTTGTTGAGGTCACCCGTTCGGTGGGTTTTTTTTTAGCAACCTTAACTGGCCTAAGAGAACTGGTTTCCAAGAAAATTAGAATAAGATGTACACCAGAGGGTCATGGTGGCCATGTGTTTGAAGCCAGGTGGAAGCAGCCTTGAATAGAGTGACTGAGCCCTCCTCCCAGGAAGCCCATGCTGCCTGGGTGGGATCTCCGATGGGGTCATTAGCACATTTATAGCTGAGGATAAGAAGTTGTTTCTACCCTAGATTTCTTTGTGTGTGTGTGTGGGGGGGAGTGGGAGTGGGGGGAGTTCAGCTTTATTGAGGTATAATTGACAAAGTTGTAAGATACTTAAAATGTACAATGTGGTGATTTTATATATGTATACATGGTGACAGGACTCCCCCCATCCAGCTGATTGACACATCCAACCCACTGGTCACCGTTTACTTTCACAGCCCCTACTTTCCAGTAACCATGAGGCTGCGAGTCAGTGAGACCATCTTTTGTATGAGTGAATACTACCTAATATCTTGAGGGATAGAACAGGATGTGTTCTAGGCCATTTTATTTTATTTTATTTGGGAACAGTGTGTTTTTTCAGGACCCATCAGCTCCAAGCCAAGTAGTTGTTTCAATCTAGTTGTGGAGGGTGCAGCTCCTTGGCCCATGTGGGAATCGACCCGGCAACCTTGGTGTTATAAGCCTGCGCTCTAACCACCTGAGCTAACTGGCAGCCCAGTCCTTTCTTCTTTTTAACTTCTTACCCTAGATTTCTATTGGCGCCACTCAGACCATTGTTAGAGAAATTATTTGTGATTGTAATTTTTATAAGGAGGCAACTTTTTTAAAAATTAAATTGGAAATGGAGTCATTTAACTTTAAGGTAGGAAATATTTAGGCGTGAGCTGAGTTGTGCCGATACCTGAATGTCCTCTCTCTCTCGGTTAAGGCTCTGCCAAGCATTTTGCAAAACCACATGTGGCTCCAGCCAGTGCCAGGCTATTTCCTGTCACAAGGAAGCAGTGTCATGTGGGTGAAAGTACAGCTGTGTGAGAACTTGCATGGGCAGACTGTATGGAGTGAGAGTAGAAGAGGACCAAGACAGAACTCTGGGGACAGAGTAGATTGATGTCCTAGCAGTCGTGAGAGTGAAAACGGAGGCCAAACGAGTCCGGAGCTCCTGTGCCTGTGTTGCTCAGCCAATAGACCGACACAGGAGTCGGGTCATAGAATAAAGGTTTATTATCAGAGTACCGGTGGTCTGAGAAGGCAGCGGGTTAACACCTCCAAAAACTGCTTTCACATCCTCAGACCAGCCTGGGATATTTAAGGGAAAATGTGGGCATTCCTCCAGAGGCCACTTGATGGTTCCGGGGGTCAGCATGCAGCCTTCCCTCTGGCGATGTGGCTCTTTAACATGGTCATCAACCCAGGAGCAGTGATGACAGTAACCTGGAAAGATGCTAGGCCATAAAGATTGTAATCAGCAAGCATGGGGGGCCTTGTGACTAGTAAGCAAGCATAAGTTTCAGGGTAATTTCCTAAAGCAGGGCTCTGGGACAGGGGACATCCTAAGCTCAGGAACTGGGACAGGACATTCCAAGCTCAAACTGCAGGGAGGGGGTTGTTAAGCTCTAGGGCAGGGAGAGGTGAGGCCTCTTTTGTGGGGGTCCCAACTGGGCCCTGTTTCAAGAGGGGAGAGTTTTAAGAAAAAGTGGCCTCCAGGCAGGTGGCCTTGACTGCCAGGCTGAGGAGTATAAGCTTCCCAGCAGGAGGCAGGCTCCAGCTGTCCCAGGGAGTTCCAGGATTCCTTGCAGCAGCGTGGACCCAATAGGAGGCGGGGCTTGAGAACTTTAGGTCAGGTTCTGAGGGCTCTGTCCCTGCTTCTGCCCTTGACCTTCTGTCCCCAGAGCAGCTCAGATTTTAGGTTTTATGTCCTAGGGCTCCTGGTTTCATCACATTGAAAAAAATGTAGGGTTCTGCTTATATAATAAAAAGCGTTGACATCCACTGTGTAGATAACAGTGAGGAGTCCATAAAAGTCTTGCAACCAGAAAAGTGACCTAATTGGGTCTCTATTTTAGAAATCTCACCCTGGCAGCAGTGTCGAAGATAAATTGGGAAGTAAGGGGAGAGGAATTGGAGACAGTGGCCAGTCGGAAGGTTGGTTCACTAATCTGGGTAAGCCAGCAGGAAGTGTACACCTGGACAGTGGCGGGGGGACAGGAAGGGATGGATTCAAGGGACAGTTCCAAGGTCGAGGGACCATGATCTGAAGATGGGTTCTGTCTGGAGAAAGAGGGTTTTTAACCTGGGTGCCTGGGCAGATGGTGGGTGCCTGGGCAGATGCTCTAGAAGACCTTGAAAAGAGTGATCTTGGAAATCAGGTGAAAGGATATGTAGTAGCAAGGGAACTCCCATACAGAACACCAAACAGAATGTGTGGAAGAGACTGAGAGACTGGGAAGAGACACCTTTTCCTCTGAGGGGCCTGTGGGGTGGGGGTGGGGTGGGGCCTTGGAGCAGGGCAGCAGGGGCAGGACCCTCCCCCTGCCCAGCGTCTTTAGCATCTGACCCCTAGGAGGACGACAAGCCCAGAAGCCACTATCAGCCCTTGCAGTAGGCAGATGAAAGAGATGTTTTGCAAATGTTAAGCTGCCAAACAGTCCCCCGATACTAAGAACAATCGGCCTCCTTTTTATTTGGCAGAAGAATCCTCAGTGTAGGTCACTGGAGGCCTCAGAATTTGGGACTCCTGTCAAATGAAGACCTGGGCCCCTTTTCTTCATCAGCTGGAGGCTTGGAAAACATGGCAACATGTGCTCTGCTTCCACAATTGGAATTAACTTATGGACTAGAACTGCGCCCTGGGCCCTTCCTCAGGATAGCTGTTAGTTACTATAGTGGCTTCAGAGTCAATCTCTTAGCAAAGCTTCTAGTTCTTGGATGGGTCAAAGGGGAGAAATCAGCTAGTGCTATTCTGTACAATAGAGCAGCAGCGGCCACACATGGGTGTGAGCCCTTGAATGTGGGTAGTTCTAACTGACATGTGCTGTAAGCATAAAATACACGCTGGATTTCAAAAATTTACTATGGAAACAAAGTAAAATATGTCAATGCTTTTTTTTTTTAATGTTGGTTACTTGTTAAGATGGTATTTGAACACAACAGACGAAATAGAATTTATTTTCAGAATTTCACGTTACTTGTTTTAATGGGG